TTTACTTAGTGTTATAATTGACATACTCATCATCTAGAAAGAATTTTTAATGAATAAACGGAAGGATCTAAGTAATGATTTTTCTAGAAAAGAAGTGTATTTACTTTAGATATTTAGTTTGTATGTTCTATCATTTCATTCATATTGTGAGGCTCGAAACAGCAATTGATGATGAGGAATGTATTTTGATTACATAAAAAATGTCAAACTCAAATTTACATTTTAACAAATCCTATTCACTAAATATTGACGTTGCAGAAGTGTAAAGGCAAGAAAAATTGATATTGGACATAGACAGTTAACTTTACGGCGCTTTCAATACATTATTTTTGAAGTTCAAGAATTTGTTGCCAAAATATCTTTAAAGTTTTTGTACAAAGCAGAAGATGCACTACAAAAAGATCTCAGGATTACACTAATTTAATGCTTTGCGTTCTTTATTTTTGTTTGTCGTGACTTGATCAAGTTTTGACTCAGTTTATTCCTCCCTAGATGTGCCTCTAAAAAAAGACTGAGTAGAAGAGTTTTTGTTTTTTCTGCTTCTGACATGTCGAACTCGGACATATATTTGAAATCTTTTATGGCTTTTTCAAAGTTCAGTTGACAGGACTAAATCTGTTTATGTTTGTTGTGCAAACTAGTTCGATACGTCAGTAGGGCTTGCACAATAATTAAATATATCTATTTACTTATCTACCACTTGTTTGCTTCGAAGATTGACTGGGTTACAAAGATTTAGCTGTAAGACCATATAGAGGATACAATGGAACTTTTCGTTAATGAGCAAGTACGTAAATCAGTTGGCTTGTCTCATGTTTTGTGATCTCGACTCAAGTTACTCATGGACCAGTCTTATGTTCAGTGGTAATGGTTCTAGTCCGAATCACTCTTGGTAAAATACGTATTTTAAAGAGTTGTTGTCCTGACTGACCTGAAGTTGAAGAAGATGGCATCCTTCAAAAACAAAAAAAACCTTGAAGGACAGATCAATTTTGGTACTAAAAGCAATTGTTAGCAGATACAAAATAACTCATCAAAATTAATTCTAGCTCTTGCAGTCTAAAAATGCCAAATCAAATACTTTTTAGACAGAAGTTTGCACTTCAGACTAACTAATTTCGCTTGATACGAGCTGAATCTAATTAAAAATGTAAAATAATAGCAGCTAAAAGTAAACATTGATTTAAAGTTCTAGTTCTGCAGGATTTTTCAGTCGATGAAATGATATAAATTAGTTGCTAGGAGCTTGACCTATCTTTAGATGAAAAATGTTCCTAATAAGCTAGTCTAGATTTATCCATAATTTAAATGGCTTTTCATTCAATTTGATTTCCAACGAAGGCGAAAAAAATTTCTTTATAAATATTATTATTGTGTTTGCTTGGCATGAATAATTTCCAATGTTTAATTTTTTTATAATTTTTTAATTCATGGATTTTAGCAAAAACCTGTTACTACTGCGTATTTTTAATATTTCAGTGAATAACCAGGTCATTATTTTTACATCACTCCAGATTTATTGAATAAATTTACTCATAAAACAGTTCATGACAATATTAATGTCAATAATAAAAAAACTTTTGTTTCTACCCTAAAATTGAGCTAGTTATTGAACTATCAAAATTTTGAATTACTGATTTAATAAATGCTTAAGATCTGGATAAAAAATTCGGAATGCTTAATTTTTAATTAACTTTTCTTTAAGTAGTTTCCAGTTTGTTTAATATTTTGAATGATCAGAAGTTATTACTGAAAGAAAGCAATGTATTACTTTGTAAATTGTTACTTCCAAATCAGTTGTTGAAAATTATGCAAGTTGCAATATTCAATTTATAAAAATGAATCAAAGATGAAATTATAAATCGAAGAGGAAATTATTTGTAAAGTTACAGGTAACAAATACAACGTACATATACAATAGTGAATAATTGATAGTAGCAGCAAACATATTGGTGGATTTGGTCATTAAATGTAAAATGAGGACGACGCATATCCTAAACGAAAAATCCCGGAATTTCTCTAGATTCCTCGTTACCACTCTCGTACTACTCCTCCTCTTCAACCAAAAATTTCATGGATTTCTATTCGTCTTATTTTTATCTCTTCTTTTTAATTTCAAATCAGAAGGGTCATAATTTCTATCTCAGAGATTAGAGTGAATAATTTTACTGTCAATATAACTGACCAACAAGGATAAAAGCGGTAAAAATTGCAAGTTTTTTATTCCTGAAAAAATTGTTAAAATTTTTTTTTCTAAGTGATTAATTAATACAAACTTTGTCTATATACGCCAATTTAGTCTTTCTTTCCAACAAATTCAATCACTTATTTTTTTTTTCATTAATTCTTCGTTGTGTACATTGTCGTTTTTGTTTTTTTCAAGTTCAACTAAAAAAATTTCCTTTTCAGTTTGTTTGCTTTTTAAACTTGCAATTTTTGCAAAATTTTAGTTCTTGAGGCATTTTTTTAATTCTGTAAAACTTATCCAAAGTAATACCACTACTAGTTTTGCGCACATTACTTAATTATTCTCTTTAGCTCCCAAAATTTTGAGTTAAATCTGAATTATAAATACAAATTGAAAGAATTATGGACACAATTTCCTTCGATTCCATTTGTAATTAAACAATAAAAAATTGTGGAAAAGTTTAATAATGTATACATTTGTAATTATTAGCTAAGTTTCAAATTCAATCTAATCATATTGCATTTTTATTAAATGCAATATGATTAGATTGAATTTAAAACTTTAGCTCAGAAGCGCTTCATTTAATCCCTTCTAATTATGAATATAAAATGAGTGTTTTATTGAAGCAGTTAATTAAATTAAATGTAATGCTAGACTAAAATAGAATAAAATATACTCGTATTACTGCATTACTATTAATATTTCAATTAATTTTAATTAAATCTTTATTAGTAGTTAATATTTAAACTGTTTTTTACTTTTTTTTGAAAAAGAAATTCAGTATTAATTTTAATATATTTCAAATAAAATGTGGGAAAAATTAAGAAATTGGCTCATCTACCATATGTGATGATATATCGTGGCACTTTCTTATTTGCTTGTTTGATATTGATATCAGCACAACCACTGCCTGCTCCAACTGGTTTTGACGCGGGCATATTAACCGATCACGCACGACAATTTGTTGAAAGTAAAAGTTTTGTTTTATTATGAGAAAAAAAAAAACAGATATTAATAATTGGATAAGAGACTAATGAATAATTTTTATCAAAAACAGATACAAATTTACAATGTGCTCTTTTAAAAGTATAAAACGTAGCATTTAGCTTTTGTTTGAAAAATTAGTTTGTAGACTTTTTAAGGATTGAAATGATTTGTTTCAATTCTCAAAAAAATATAAGTAAACTTACTTTCAGTTATTTTTCATTATTAAAAACCAATGTTATTGAGTGAAATGCAAAACTAATTACTGCAAGATAAAACAGACTTAGACTTATTTATTATTACTTGAAGCTAAGCTCAAATTTTAATTTTTATTTGATTTAAGCGCAAATTGACAACGTCAATTAATTTAAGCGCAAATATGATATTCACTTTGATCCAAATATGACTTTAATATATGCAACTATATTGTTTGTTTCATTCCAGTAAATCATAAAATTTATTTAATTTTGAACTAAAATATTTTCTTCTGCTTTCATAAAAATTAAAAATGTAACATAAAAAAGTAATCGCTTAATTAGCAAAAAATTATTTCTGATTTTGTCTCTGATTTAATGAACTACTAAAAATGCAATAATGAATGATGTTAAAAATTAAAGAGTACAAAATTCAAAAAGCAAATTTTTGGTTTCTTTAAATTATAATAGCAAAATTTTGATAAATTGAATAAACAATCAGTGAAATAATTTATAGATTTTTAAATATTTATTAGTAATTCAATGTAAAAACATGTCTTTTTAAATCATTTTTTAAAATGAAGTTATTTAATTTGCAATTTAATAATAATTTCTCTTAAATTGAATTTAATTTAAGTAAGAATTTTTGATTGAATAAAATGCATTTTTGTAATGCATATATGCAAATGCCGACATATCTGTTTGAATTATTTTGCATGTTTTCAAATGGCTTTTCTTAGGCTATGAAAAAGTTTTATTTTTTTTAATGAGCAAAAATTCAAAATTTAATTATTCACTTAATTGTCAAAACTGTTATATGTGATAAGAGATTAGTGCATTAAAATGCAAAATGATAAAGTTATCAAATTATTTATTCTTTCACGTAATGATCGCTTTTTCAGTGGAAAAGTATAACACTAAAAGCGAGAATTCAACTTGTGAACAGAAGTCATAAATTATTATTGGTACACATATCAAAGCAATTTGATTTTTAATGCAAATTTTGATTTAAATAATTTTCCTTGCCGAATTTTGTTACAGTTTATGGACTGGCAACAAAATTGATGAATCTCGGTGGTTCAATCATAAACAGTGCAAAAGATGTCTACGATTTTACTGGGTTTTTAGCTTAATTTCATGCTAATAATACTCAGATTTTTGCATTTTATTTCATAAAAACGCAATACAATTCGAAAAAAAATTGCATAACATATCAAAAAATTTAACCTTAATGTCTAATTTCAGTCTAATAAATTACTTAAGTCAAATTTTCATTATTACCATTGTCTAACTTTGACATATTTTAAAATATACATTTATATTGTACTTCACTTTTTTGTAAATAAAATGATTGCATTGATTTGAAGACGTGATCGTTCTGGATGGTCAGGCAATAGCTTATCCGATGATTTTACTGGGCAACGGTATCAGAGTGGAGGACGATCTCGATATCAGCCATCATCAGCAAGCGAATACGGTGGTGGAGCATTAGGAAACAGTTTTGGTATGGTGCAATCAGCTAAACAAAGTGGAATTGAAACTTTGCTCAATACTTTCTTAGGTTTGTTTTTGGCATTCATAAAAAAATTTCATAAATTTTATATTTTTAGAAATTAATCTTCAATTATTACCAATTCAAAAGTGAATCGAAATGCTACACGTATTCATAATTTAATAATTTTGCTGAAAAAGTAATTTAAATTATATTACAAAGTAATTTAGGACCAGCATTTTTGGGTCAAACCACTCAACCACCAGCAATTAACTTAGCAAACTTTTTCAAGCCAAATTATCATAAAAATGAAGACTACCTCGCCACAGGTGCATCAAATATTGATAGGCTAATAAATGTACTCACAAAAAGTGGTGCTCAGAGGGCTACTCCAAGTCCTTCACAAAATTTGCTTCAAAATCTTTTTGGAAAAAGATAATTGCATTTTATGATACTTACTTCTCTCAAATAAGCTTTTATGTAATTAATATATTTTCATTACTGTGATAATTTTATTAGTGTATTTTTACATCGTATCTGGCAGGTAAGTAATTGAAATTAGTGCGTAAATGCATTTATAATTTGTGTGAGATAAGCCAGTGTAGCAAATTTGAAATAATTCCTTCTTGTAAATAAATAATTTATATCATTTCAACTTTATTACAAAATTATATGGCAAAATTACTAATTAATAATGATAAAATATATTTGCACTGAAAAGAATGAGAAAAAAATATGATTTTTTTAATGTAATAAAGTTACAGTTTTAATCCGATCTGTAATTTTTCATAACGTTGATTCTGCATTGATTCAAACGATATCAATTTTAAAGCATTTATTAAAATTTAAGAAATTAAATGCTAATTACACACTGGTCATTTTCGACAAAGTAAAGCATTCATTTCATTATTTTGACACAAATTATTATTTCGTTTTGGTTATTTACTCATTTTCTGCCCAAAATCTTTTTTTTTACACCAAAACAAACTTCCTTTAATCCTTAAATTAAAAAGAGAATAGTAGATATATTCACAATAACTTTTCATTATATTTTTGTTTCTTGTAGAAGTGAAACGAAAATAAAACGGAAATAGCGGTACAAAATTTTGACAAATCGAAAATTTTTCCAAGTTATATCACTTTATTTTCTTGAAATACAATAAGAAAGCTGATTAAATGCACAAAAAAAGGCGGAAATTCTCGATTTGACCCTTCTTTGTATTACTTAATATTTTTTATGACCTTATCAATCAGAACTTCGCTTGACCTGTCTTTTTATCATTCAAAACTTTTCACATCCTTTTTCCATTTCATATTGTGAACTTTTATCAAATATTATTACTTTAATTAATTTTAGAAAACAAAATATGAATGTATTACTGTTTTATATTTATACTTAAGATGATTAATGCCAAAAATAATACGAAAATGATAAAGTATTGTAAGTGAAATTTAAAATAAATAGTTAAGAACACAGCTTAAGATCAGGCATAACAGTATTCAAAGCTCCAAATAAATCCCTTGATCTTGAGAACAGCGCAGCTAGAAGTTAATTTACTTTCACTTGAAGCACTGAAGTAAATTTATTACATGCAGTGTTAATTCTCCAAAATTTTTCAGATTGGTAAAGCTTATTTTGTGAAAAAATTGTAAAATTGTCTCTGTGATATTTCAACTTTGCCAATAAAAAGAATCTTTTCATATGGTTTTTGGTTTCTTACTGCTTGGAATAATCAAGAATTCTGGACCGTTGTTTACTTTTTGCATGTTATAAAAATAGTTAAAAGTACGATTTTTCTTTTGCTTGTGCTACGAGAACCGATAAGTTTGTTGACGTAAGCATAATTTTAAAAGGTACAAATACGGATCACAATTTACGTTACACGTAAGTTCACTTGATTGATGCAAGCGATCATAGTTTGATGCTTAGTTCAGTATTTTTCATGGCTGATTTATTTACACAATCATTTGATAGTAAGAAAATGATCAATCGAATTTTCGTTGTTTTATATAATTTAATTTACAGCAAAATGTTGATAATTTTAAAAGATTTCGTATTTTAGTTGTCAGCATTTTGATTGCTTGCTATTATTGAGCATACAGACGACAAATTTAATTTTCGACAATAATTATTGCTAAGTTTGCTTGTACAAATTAATTTTTGAAATTTATTTCACTTATTTTGCATCAGTTTTTATGTATTGGCTAATTTTAATGACTATTTTATGTTTGTAAGATTGTTTGCCTGGTAAAATCTGATGATGTATTAGTTTTCATACTAATAAAATTCCATGCATTTTTGGTAGTGACAAATGCTGGAAAGTAATGCGGAATTTCTTTTTGCTTACTTGTTAACATATTCTTTGAATTGCTTTTGTAATTATAATCCATGCTAAAATTGTAAGGAATATATTTAAAAATTTTTGATATCAGAATTTTTTAGCAAAAATTATTTTATAACTTTGCAAATTGGAAAAAAATAAAAGTGTGTGCTTAATAAAATGAAATTGAGTGCTTTTATTATTAAAATTAGTGACACACAAATGCAAACAGAATAATAAAATTAATTAACAGGCGGATTTTGTGATTCACATACAGAAATATGAAAAAATTTACAAAGTAGGCAGTATTATTGTAACATTGATGGAGATATCATGCAGTCTTAAACATTCAAACTCATTCATTAAAATTTGCATATCTAAGATTATATTAAATATTTATGCAAAAAATGCAGTTAAGATTGAATACAAATAGTAAAAATGTTAAGATCACTTCTTTCTGTGCAATCAGTTTAACAATTTAAAACAAGCAAACAAAGAAGTACTTAGAATAATTATTTTCGGCTCAATGCTTTTTAGAATTCACGTATAACAGAGAAGACAAAAAGTGCCTCAATGTTAGAACTACTTTCCATTGTCACTAATTTGGACAATATAATGGAAAGAAGTAAACTGATGTCAACATTATTAGTATTGTAAAAACAGGTTATTCAATGCAAACAGATAATTTTCATGATCACTTGACACACTTTTGCTAATTAATTTTATTATTCTAAATTTCAATCACAAAGTTAAGATTTTATTTTGCAAGGAATTAGTGATCAAATTGGTAAATAACGGTTGTTTATTATTAAAATAAATACACCAGTCTCCAATTAAATGCAAGTTTGTAATATTTTCATTTAATAATATTGTCTAATTTAATTAAGTAAATTGTCATTTTGTGCTTAATCTCAAATGTAATTTTTATGACCTTTAATCCTTCGAACAATGGATATTTGAGCAATTGGATTTTTATGACTTAGTCAAGCATTATATTGCTCTTTTCTGTTGATCAGCAATTTGACTAACTACACCACAAAAGAATAGAAGGACAAAATTTAAAAATTATTCAAACTTATTTGGAAAGGAAATACTGAATAAGTTGTTATGATATACAATTAATTATATCATGTACTTTGATTGAAATATTCATAAGTGAATATATTTTAGGAAAAAAAAGTATTACAGCGAGCGGTACGTCAGTTTTATTGAGAATTCTTTCAGAGTCATAATTAATTAACTCTAAATTGGATTATATTTCTCACTTATTATAAGGCATAAAAGTGATTACATCGGTACTCTGCATGTACTCTTATAATATTTTCCAAATTATGCACAATCACCTGCATTTTATCATTTCTATTTTTCTGATAGATAGCAAATTTCATTACAAGCTTTTTCTCTTCACTTTTATCAATCATATTAAGAGTTCTTACAGTGATAACTGATTTAGAAAACTCTGAAAATTCATGGTGAGTGTTTCATACTGAAAAATTTAAAGATTGACATGAAGAGATTATTGTTGTAAAAAGGCAATAGTGAAAGGTCTAAATGCAGTTTAATAACCGGGTGCTGTTCTTGGTGGTGGGCAGTGATCACAGGCACCAGAACCTCCACGATCTCCCTGAGGTCCAGGCGGTCCATCAATACCTGCTTTTCCTGGTGCTCCATCTCGTCCTGCATTTCCAGCTGGCCCTTGCATACCATCATTACCAGGATTTCCATTATTTCCTGCTGGTCCTGGTAGACCAGCAAGACCTGGTAATCCTTTTGGACCTGGTGGACCCATTGGTCCTGGTCTCTCGATAACAGATCCAGGTGGTCCTGGTGGTCCTTTTGGACCTGGTGCACCACGTTGACCACTTGGTCCAGGAAGACCTGGTGCACCTGGTGGTCCTCTGAGGCCTCCATCTGCATTTCTTCCTGGTGGACCAGTCATTCCGCGTGGACCTTTTGGTCCAGGATTTCCTGCTGGACCAGCTGGTGCATCCGGACAATCGAAGCACCAATCCTACAATAATAAGAAAATTCATTGCGCTGAGAACACGTGTGAATTTTTTACCTGATAAGTTTCAAATTAAAGCAAAAACCACTTACGATACGTGGCTGCGCAGGTGGTGACTGAGGTGCGTCAGGTCCATTTCTTCCTGGAGGTCCTTGTTCGCCATCTCGACCATCTTTTCCATCTGGCCCTGGTAATCCAGGTGGTCCCGGAGGTGAGACACCACATCCACAGCAAGCACCACCGCCACCAGCGGTACCGCCTTGGCCACTTGCAAAGCTTGTCATAACGCTGCCGCTTACTCCTGCACCAGGATGAGCAATTTCAGAATTGGAAAAACTGTCATAGCCTGCTTGCCTTCGACTTCGAACGCCACCGTTTACTTGGGAGAGAACCTTCAAGATCGAACTAATGAAAAGCTTTAACATGCACATCATAAAATGCATATCATGTTTGTACAGAAACAAAGTTTGTAAATCGTTGATTCAAAATCTAGCTAAAAATTTTTGGAAAACTCGAGAGTAATGATGAATAGATGAACTCCATTAATTAATACACATACAGATGAGTTATAAACTAATATTCTACATAGAAATTCACTGAAAACTATAATATTATTACCATTTTTGTAAGCAAAAACACAAGAAAAATATAGATTAAAGAAAAAACATGAAATTATTTATTCAATAATGTGATTTTATTTATGACTGAAAAACCTTATTTTTTAAATGCTAATTTCCGTTTATAAAAATTCACAACTCACAATTGCGTGTTTGTAAGATTTACTCACGTAAAGTTATATTATTTAGATTATTTTATCCATACTGCTACTAAGTAAGCCCAAGTATAGAACAAAAATTAATTGTAGAAAGTTAATTCAAACTGTAAAACTAGTCATTTGCTCATTATAAAACAGTAATAACATCTATTATAAAGTGATAGTTTATTTTTTCTCGAATTTTTACATTTTAGAAAGTTAAAAAAATTTAGCTTTCCTTAAAACAATACTGTCAGTTGCAAGTGATAGCAAGTTGTCAAACAATTCTTTTTATAGTTTTTTAGAGTTTGAAAACACTTTTAAAAAATATTCCATCCCAAAATCATTATTGACTATGGATACAAAGTATTTGACAGTTAGCAGTGAAAGGTTGATTTCGATATTTCGATGTAAGCTATCTCATTTAATTTAAATTTTGTGCAATTTCAATTACATTTAAAAGCTAGTCTGAAAATTTTATCATAAATTTGTTGTTTCAGTAATAGATTGCAATTTCAGCAATTCATATGATTTTGTATGAATTTTGTACATTTTAATTCATATAATTCTGTAGGGAAGTTGTGCTAATGATCAGACCTATGCTAATGATCAGACAACAATTGATCAGACAAGTTGTGCTAATGATCAGACAAAAAAATACCTTAAAAAACTGACAAATTTCAGTGAAATGCAAAAATCATAATATGTGACACTCAATTGTTGAATTGAGAGTTTGCTGTGATCTTGTCATATTACATTCAAATATGAACTAAATTAATTTAAATTAGTATTCAGATAACTACGTGAATGTATATTATTTAATTTTAACTATTGATTAATTAAAAAGTAAATTTAAAATTATCTTATTTGCAAGATTTATTTACCAATAGACAGTCTCACGAATAAATTATTGTTTAACAACAATATTCAAATTACCGTAATTATATTCGAAAATTTCAGACAATTACAGCAATTAAGAAATGCATTTTGCTTAAAGCCTGTTTTTACTTGAAAAAAAAGAACAATTAAATTTGTATAAATTTTTCAATTATTGACAAATGAAACTGGTTATTTTAAGTTTTGTCACAAGTGTCACTGTGGTTCACGTTTTTTACTTTTATTCAAATTAGTATTTAAACTTGAAATTTAAAAATTTTACTTAATGGTCATTTAAATGCCCGATTTAAAGAAAATTATGACAATATGCCCTCTGTCCCATGACCTTTACGTTTTCCTGTTTGTTTGCTTGTTCGTTTTTGTTATTGTTATTATTACTTTAAATTGCTACTAGTTTGCTCTTAAAAACATTTTCAAAATATTATTTATATTAAAAATTGCATTGGTTATTTGAAAATTTTAACTATTAATGCCATGGAAGATTCATAAACGATTTTGATTAAGCAGAAGGAAACTTTTGCAGTTCAAAAAATACTGACTTTGATGAATTATTTTTTTGGGAGAAGAATCGTTGCAGTAATTAATGAAATATTTTTTGTAATAGTCACACTAATGAAAACCTAACTGGAGTAAAATTTACTAATAAGATTTATTAGTTAATAATAAAAACTAATTAGATAATTGAATAAATTAAAATTAACACAAAATTGAGTGCTGAAATAACTGTAGCAAACTTTCGCTAATTAAAAATTATTAGTATTATTAATAAGCTTCTTGATCACATTATAATTATAAATACTTATTGGAGTCTTTTAATATTCACTTTCGATAAATTCGCAAAAGTTCATATTTGCAGACCTGTCTTAGATTGTTTTGAGACAAAATCTACTCATAGAAGCAAATATTAAATAAAAGAGTAGTAAACAAAACAAAACTTGAATCAGTTTCCAGCCGCAATTTAGCAAGTAGTAAGGCTTGTTTCTTTGATTATTTTCAAAATAAACAAAATATTTGATAACAAGAGTTGGAAATATAATTCGAGCAAGTATCATTAGCAAAATGTTAAAATTAAATAACTGTCTTACGGACTTATTTCATTACTTAAGACTTTTCTTAGATTGCTAAGTGAGATTTTGAATTATTATTACGCTCAATTATTTTTGACTTAAAAAATTAAAAATTATTAAGATATAAAACACTATTTTTGTGCAGCACTGTAAATAAATAAAAGGGATGATATCTAAAAAGGATATTCATTTAGCATCAATTAAATGAATTGATTTAATTCAAAATAATATTCAATTATTCATTAATTTAAATGATTTTAAAGTAAAGTTTAATTATGAATGAAAAAACACTATTTTAAATTTGATCACGCCATCACAGTGTAATGTACTATACTGTATTATTACAGCACAAAAGAAAGTGTAATTATTTAACACACAAAAACTTTAGAAGGTTTTGTTTTAAACTTTTCGCTCAAAGATTGAATGAAAAGAAAAGTTTATTTTAAGATCTAAAGTTAAAATAGTTAATTTGCTTATACTTTTGACCTTCAAAATTTTAAATAATACAAAAATTGTAGTCATTGTTGTTTTTGTAGCAAATGGTTTTCATTTTATAGTAAACTAAAATCACATATTTTCCTATTTTGCTATGAAAATTACGATTTTATTTGATCTGATCTAATCTGATCTGAATTTGATCTGGTTTGATTATGTTTTCTTTGCAAGCATAATATTCCAAAGTAATATATGGTTCATTCAATTTGGGCATTGTTGAAAATTTTCAACAACAAAGCATTATTTGTTTGTAATTAATTAATAAAGAACATTCACAGTAACTGCTTAAGATTGCAATTGTATTTAGTTTATAATTATGCAAAAAAAAATGATTGATTTAAAATAAAATGAATGTTAGCATTAGTCACAAAGAAATATAGAAAAAGCTCACTTGAGTTCGCGTCACTTCACGCCAAATATTACTTGAACGTGACTTGCAGAAATCAACTTCATTTTGCATAAATGACTGCACATGCTGCAGATAATTATAAAACATTGGAACCGATAGAGCACATATTAACGAGGCTATAGTTGAAAACGCTACGCCATAAAATGCCACTCTTCGCAGGCTTTCAGCCTCTTCTTGTTTTCGTTTGTAGTTTGACGCATCATCCAAGTCAGGCCCCATCACTATAAAAAGCATTTAATCTTTATTTTATGCTCATATTTTACGTTGCGTCACTTCACGTTCAAGTTTATTTTTCATAAGCAAAATAGCATATGAACAAATGCAGACTTACTAAACTGCATTACAAATAAATTATTTTTTCACTACAAAAAAATGAGATTTTATAGAAGAATAAAATCTAAAATGATTAGCTAATTTATATTTAAAGTTGTCTATTCAAAAATCCTTTTTGTACAATGCACTAATTCTTTCTAAGATGATAATTTACTTTTATTTTTACTAAATTAATTTCTTCTGAAAATGATTGCCATTTGTAAACTTAAACGTGTGAAAAAATATTAAATAACAATTCCAGTTTTAGTAATAACAATAATAATTAGAAATATTACTCAAAACATTTATGAGAAGAACAAAAGTAACAAATTGAAATGTTCAAAATGCCATTTTACACACATTTTACACACATTTTGTAGTTAAATATAATATAAATTTTGTCAATATTAATTAATTTTAAACTTTTTAAATTTAAAGAAATATACTTTGAAAGAATATTTTATGATTTAAATTCAATCAGAACAAATGCAAGAAAAATAATGAAATTGAGTTGCTATCAAATGCAATAAAAACATTTAATATTACTGGTATAGTAAATAATAAAACTTCGATAAAAAATAATGCAAAGTTAATGAAAGTATAATTTTTGCTAAATTCAGCTATATATTGAATGGAATTGAATTGAAATGAATTGAATTGAATTGAATTGAATAGTTGTTGTATTATAAAATTTGAAGAGAAAAAAAGGCGAAAATAATAAGTATTTCAGCATAAATATTGCAAATAGCTACTAATTAAATCTTAAAATTGCTGAAAGTTAAAGTTAATTAGTAGGGAAATAAGTAAAACTATAAGAGATGAAGTAGTAAAAAGCAGCAATAGGTAAAACAATCACTTGTACTCACACTTTTTCATTTACCACTGATATTTATATGAAACTTTGAGAAGAGGAAGCAAAAAATTTGTATGAATTTACGTTAAAATTTAACGCCTCCTTTGTGCTAACCATTTCTTTCATTAGATTCTTTCTTTCGCGTTTCTGCGTCATCTTTTACTCTTCTTTTCTTTTTTTCATGATATTCTTCTGAATTTATTGCATTGTTAACCAATTATTTCCACAAAACCTTTCCTCTAAAATAATTTTTTTTTTTTTTTGCATCAGACAGAAATTATCTTTACTTATGCCACTCCCACTTTTGTATATTACTCTTTTTACGTGTGCTACACTTACTAAAATTAATGCTAGAAACACTACTCAAACTATTGCTAATAATACCAACCAAACAAGCAACTACTAACTAATCATCTAGCCAAACAATACCAGTATTTTCAGCGTCGCAGTAACACGTACTCATCATAATAATTTTACTCTATTCAACATATAATTTATATACTACATTTAATTGTTGCTCCTAAAATGACTAACAATTGAGGAAAGCAAATTACTTTAACAAAAATTACGAATTGTTACTTCCAAAAAATAAAAAAAAGAAAAACGAAAACTTTGAGAAAAAAAGCAGAAATAATTACTCCACAATGTGTAATCTGATAGCTAATTTTTTTTAGTACTCTTCTCCTTTTTAAACTATGATTATTCCAGTTATTCACATCACTACAATTATAAAAATTTGAAAATTACAAAAGTTAAGCAAGAATTAAAATGCTTTTCTTCCGGTTGATTTTATTATTTATACTGCAAAAAGAAGAAATGCGTGAAAGTTAACGCAAATTTTGTATTACAGATCATCATTTATACCATAAAATTAGTAAAGTTTCAATATTTGAAAGTAAAATGTTTGGGTACAATAGCATAGAACAGATAAGAGCATTCTTTTCAGTGTTTTTTGACGCAAAAACTTCCTCTGCTGGGTAATTGTCAAAATCCAAATATCTTATGCTTTAAAAATTGTAATCGCTTGCTATTTGTTCTGCAGTATAAATGAAATGATTACTTATTAATTATTGAGATGCATCAAAATCTGTGGTTTAATGATTCACTTTTAATACTTCTAGTCAAATACTGTTTGCATGTGGAAAATAAAAGTAATAATGGTGTGCAAGTTGCCAAATCAGTGTCAAAAGAGAAAAAATTAAGTGAAACTTATTAAGTTCATGACCGATGTTAAGGTCACAAAATAACCTTTCAAAATTGGAAAATGCTATTTTGGTAAATAGATCTCACGCTTCGATAGCAAAAGTCTTAGTCACCTATTTTTTTTCTTTTTAAGTTGTTAACAACTATTGCTCTGAATATATATACTGATATGCATTTTTTAATGCTTCAAAAATTTCCATTTATGGTATTTTTGATATACATGCAGAAATTCAGCTCAAAATATTTCATTTTTGATTTTTAGACCTCAAAGTACTGTAAATAATTTAGAGCACTTTTAGAAAACAGTGCTTAAAATCACAAAAAATTCACTTTATCAATTGTTGCTTACAATTTAGAACATTTTTTCTTCCTTTTAAAGAATGTAGTATTTTGTTACAGTAAGAGCTCTTTGCTCATAACTTAATGCAAAAAATTTGTATGACAAAATTAATGCTCTAATAGTAAACTGTAGAAAGCTAATTAGATGAATGCAATTCTTGCTACTACATTAATATTCAAATGAGATTCTTCATGTAAATGATTTATTAAATATTGCCATAAAACTAAAAATGGTGCAAGTATGCTCTCAATACTAATATATGTAGTATGAGATATGCCGTTGAAGTGAATCCAAAAGTGATTTACTTATTCTTGACTTGAAATTCTGGTATGAATAGCACATTGTTCAGAGATTTGCATTAAAAATTTCTCCATAAATTAGCAAAGTTTTTCAATACTCACAATTCCAAAACATGAAAATAAAATTTCAAACATTACATAAATACAGTTCTGTTTTTGAGTAACGTAAATTTTGCAAGATTTATTGAAAAGCTTTATGTGAAAAGCTGAGTAGTTAGTTAGTTGTTAGTTTTGTGAAACTATTTTGCATTGCTTACAACAAAGAAAAGCTAATTAATTATTTCACAAAAAGGTTTTCAAATAATATAAATAGCATACATTGTAATGCAAACTTAATATCTAAATATTAGCAATGAATAAACAAAGTTAAAAAAGAAAAATTGAATAATAATAAAAAACATTTGTGGTATGATGATAACTTGTGAATGATATATTAGTAGTCAAAAATGCTAATCTACAATGATGAACGTAGAAGGATAGGATTGACAGCAGAAATGAAATTTGCCGCAAACAGTTGACTATTTTAAAGACATGATACCATTATAAAGCATCGAAAACAGCGAAAAACTGGAAAATTGCTGAAACAAAGATGAAATAAGGAAGTTTGAAGTGGAAATCAGAATTGTTGATATGAATCAGGACAGGAGGAAGGTGATTTCTTCAAGTGTGTCAGTCAACGAATACTGATAAAATCAAGGAGAATGCTGCAAATTTTGAGAAAGTGAATGCAAAATTAGGCAAAAAAAATAAATATCTAACAAAAGAGAGCTGTTAATAATGAATTTTATAGATGAAAATACCAGTTTTAAATCAGAATTATTACAAATGTTTTCTTGATTTGTGGTGTTGTTCTTTTGCATTATCAAAGATATAGATAGTATAGCAAACAGGATTACTTTTTCAATCATCAAAAAAAAAAGTAAAGAGACAGAACTGAAAACTGAAACTCTGAAAAAGTTATTGTAATTTAGAAATATCTGACAATATCATTAATAAAGTTATGCTTCTTCTTGTGTGCATGAACTTGTTTTTTGGAGGATTGCAATAATAACACGTTTAATTAATGATATTCAATTCAACCAGTTTAAAAAATAGCTAAATCTTGCAAGATGTGCTTAACACTAAATCAGATCATTCATTTAATTACTTTTAATTATGCATTATTACATTCACATTGAATTAAGCATTTCAGATTCACCACTCTATCTATCTATCTATATAAATATGTATCTAACCATCTATCTATCTATTTACAGTGAAGAGACATATTTCAGCTTATAATGACTATCAAAGTAAGTATCCTGAGTGAAAAAGGTTGAATCATGAGAAGATGATTGAGAAAGTAATAAGATTATGATTTTCAAGGTCAAGGTCTTAGATTGGACATTAAAGAGCAGATGTAAAAAGACAACAAAACAAAGGATAAAAGATTTACTAACCTTAACCTGAATTAAATTTTCTTCTTTATATAAATTCGTTTTTTTGCAATCAAAAAATGAAAAGATTATATAAGTAATGTGCTCGAATTATGCTAAGTTTAACTTACAAGTACAAACTAAAGTTTTATTCCAAGTAAAAACTGCTTGCATTATCAGTAATTCTGATAATTATACTAAAATGCTATTGCCTGATTGGATTTATAACTTCTCCTTCAAAATGTTATGGTATAAAAACTAGTTATAAATATCATATCAGTTACTATCATATTTATCGCAGAACTTTGTAATCATCAAAAGATATTAGCATAAATCTTTTCTTGATGCTTTCATATCTTTAACGGCTTTCTTATCATCTTCTCTCTTTTCACATAATCACTTTATCAGCATAATTTATCAAAGTTTATTTGTTTTGTAATAATCATTCGAGAAACTTGTAATATTTTTATGGCTTCAGAGTAAAAGAAATAGAAAAACCGGGTTTGCCTTTGGTATTGTTTAGGTTGTATTGAGCATCTCGCATCTTTCTCTTGATAATAAGCCAGAACTAAACAAATTTTTCTAACTGGTTTCTTAAACATAAACATAATGCAACATCATCTCTTCACTTTATCATCGTTATCATCTCCAACAGTTATAATTAATCAGTCTCTATCACGAAATAAGATGATCAGAAATTGATATCATCGTTACATATTTGCAGCAAAGATAGATTAATGCATTACTACAAATATTTTGGCTTGTTACTAAAAATAGTCAATCATTTTTATTTATTA